ATTATCAGTCGTTCACCTCTGAACTGACTGTTCGGTTCAACTCTCTTCCTACGGGCGAGAGGAACCCGAAGAAGGACGCTTACGCCGAAGGGCGGAGTCTCCTTCGGGGAGGTAAAACTCGGCCCAGAACGCCGTTTATACGGGTTAAAATGGGCTATTTTTGGCCGAGCCTAATGGCTCGGGAATGCCCACGTTAAAAAGGCCTTGTGCCACATGACACCCCTCGTGGGGGGTGACTGAATATTATCAGTCGTTCACCTCTGAACTGACTGTTCGGTTCAACTCTCTTCCTACGGGCGAGAGGAACCCGAAGGAGGCTACGCCGAAGGGCGGAGTCTCCTTCAGGAAAAACTCGGCCCTGAACCCGTTTATACGGGTTCAAATGGGCTATTTTTTTGGCCGAGCCTAATGGCTCCAGGAATGCCCACGTTAAAAAGGCCTTGTGTGCCACATGACACCCTCGTGGGGGGGTGACTGAATATTATCAGTCGTTCACCTCTGAACCGACTGCACGGTTAAACTCTCTTCCTACGGGCGGGAGGAACCCGAAGGAGGCTACGCCGAAGGGCGGAGTCTCCTTCGGGGAGGTAACTCGGCCCAGAACCCGTTTATACGGGTTCAAATGGGCTATTTTTGACCGAGCCTAATGGCTCGGGAATGCCCCACATTAAAAAGGCCTTGTGCCACATGACACCCTCGTGGGGGTGACTGAATATCATCAGTCGTTCACTTTTGAACCGACTGCACGGTTAAACTCTCTTCCTACGGGCGGCAGGAACCGAAGTAGGCTACGCCGAAGGGCGGAGTATCCTTCGGGAGGTGGCTCGGCCCAGAACCCGTTCATACGGGTTCAAATGGGCTATATTTTGGCCGAGCCTAATGGCTCGGGAATGCCCACATTAAAAAGGCCTTGTGCCACATGACACCCTCGTGGGGTGACTGAATATCATCTGTCGTTCACCTCTGAACTGACTGTTCGGTTCAACTCTCTTCCTACGGGCGGCAGGAACCCGAAGTAGGCTACGCCGAAGGGCGGAGTATCCTTCGGGGAGGTGAAACCGGCCCAGAACCCGTTCATACGGGTTCAAATGGGCTATATTTTGGCCGAGCCTAATGGCTCGGGAATGCCCACATTAAAAAGGCCTTGTGCCACATGACACCCTCGTGGGGGTGACTGAATATCATCAGTCGTTCACCTCTGAACTGACTGTTTCGGTTCAACTCTCTTCCTACGGGCGGGAGGAACCCGAAGGAGGCTACGCCGAAGGGCGGAGTCTCCTTCAGGGAGGTAAAACTCGGCCCAGAACCTGTTTATACGGGTTCAAATGGGCTATTTTTGCCCGAGCCTAATGGCTCGGGAATGCCCCATTAAAAAGGCCTTGTGCCACATGACACCCTCGTGGGGGGGTGACTGAATATCATCAGTCGTTCACCTCTGAACTGACTGTTCGGTTCAACTCTCTTCATACGTGCATGGAGGAACCCGAAGGATGCTACGCCGAAGGGCGGAGTCTCCTTCGGGTAAGGTAAATCGGCCCAGAACCCGTTTATACGGGTTTCAAATGGGCTATTTTTGGCCGTGCCTAATGGCTCAGGAATGCCCACGTTAAAAAGGCCTTGTGCCACATGACACCCTCGTGGGGGTGACTGAATATTATCAGTCGTTCACCTCTGAACTGACTGTTTGGTTCAACTCTCTTCCCTACGGGCGAGAGGAACCCGAAGGAGGCTACGCCGAAGGGCGGAGTCTCCTTCGGGGAGGTAAAACCGGTCCTGAACCTGTTTTTACGGGTTCAATGGGCATATTTTTGGTCGAGCCCACGGGCTCGGAATGCCCACGGGCTCGGAATGACCATGTTAAAAAGGCCTTGTGCCAAATGATGCCCTCGTGTGGGGTGACTGAATATCGTCAATAGTTCAAGTCGAGTCAAGAGTCGAGTCAGAGGCAGTCCGAAGCAGAGTCGCGTTCAGACAATTACTGCAAGACATTGGAATAATGATACTGGTCGAGACTACATTGTTCTCTCTACTAAACCTGATTGTTCATACCAACACGTCTACTTCTCTGTATATATTCCTGTTTGTAATATATCTGTGTTATTCCATACCTGTGTTCGAGTTCTTCTTTATTGGTTCTACCTTGGACTATCACCGTGCTACAAGGAACCGGACCATAACAATAATATAAAACCTCCGATACGACAGTGAATGCCGGGAAGATGAAGAAAAGATTTGTGCCAGCAGAAATGTGGTTCTTCAGAAGCATGCTAAGAATATCATGGACTTAACATGTGCGTAACGAGAAAGATTTAAGGAAAATAAAAAAAACGAAAAGGAATCTAAAATTTCAAGGAGAATAATACGGAAAGAGAGCTTGGAGGATTTTACTCTCATAGTACATATATTGAAGTCAAATGGGATTGTGGGAATCAGCGTGTAACCTAGCTAAAAAGCCTGTGTTAATGGATGATAGAAGAGGGAGAAGGAGGGATGGTAAAAGGCTTATATTACTAGAAAGTTGTGGAGAGCTATGATCACCTGGAGGGAGAGACATGGCACATAGAAGAAGAAAAAGAAGAATTTCATCTTAGCCTGGTTCACTTAGAACACACCCACACACACACACACACACACACACACACACACACACACATATATATATATATATATATATATATATATATATATATATAACCAAATGGGTAAACAGAGGTAGATATATATAGTTTAAGATAAACAGTGGTCAATGTTAAATAACAGTGCTTTCGGCATGAAACTCAGAGTTGTGCAATCAGTGTAAGGCATTATGTATATTTCTTAATATATATATATATATATATATATATATATATATATATATATATATTTGTGTGTGTGTGTCGGTGTGCGTGTGCGTGTATGTGTTCGCGCGTGTGAGTGCGCGCGTGTCTGTGTGTGTGTCCATATCTATCTATCTATCTATCTATCTATCTATCGAGAGCGAGACGAATAAATAAAATTAAAAGTTCAGTTGTCTGTATTCTGTTTCGTTTTCATGGAATTAAACTCTTGAAGAAATTTGACTGTAAAATTTCAAATCAAGTCTCCTGAAAGTACCGGGAAGATAAATAAATATCTAATATTCTATTGCGATTGATGGTCTATTTCTTGAAATCACGAACTATAATTATAACCTTTTCTCAGGCGAAACACAATCTTTGTTTTATATAGATACTAGCAGTAGAGCCCGGCGTTGCCCGGGGATATAACAGTAACAGATAGATCAAGTATCCACCATCATAAAGACTGAAAAATAAAATTGACAAAGATTATTGTTTAAGGTTGACGGACACGTATGTCTTAATTAGTTTTTTTTGTTTTTTTACGAATTTGTCAAACCCAAACTCAAACAAAAACATTGTTTTCAATCGTTATGTGTCTCCCAATTGAATAGAATTTTATTATAAATAATTGTCTTGTAAATGGAATTTTTAAAGCATTCTGAATGTAAAAATAAAGAAAAAAGTGTGCAAGACAATAAGAAACACAACATGCCAACAAAAAAAAAAAGTGAAGTTTTGTTGAAATCGGTTGAAAAATGTAGGTAGCATTTCTGTAATCTTTTAGGTTTACAATTTATGATTTTTACTTATTGAATACAGTAAAAAAAAATTGCATATTTTGCTTGTGGTGATCCCATATTTAAAGGAACCCACACACACAAACAACCCGATGTGAGTTGTCCCCCCTTCCATTTTCACGATGTCTCTTAATCGTGTTTTCAAATTGATTTTGTGCAAAAACTTATATTTTTCCATTTTTGGCGCTATTAGAACTACCACAAGGTATTTTATTTAGTCCTGTGAAGTTTTGTTGAAATCAGTTTGAAAATGGGAATCCCGATCCAATATATAAACGTTACAGACACACACACACAATCTGCGTTTTATAATAAGTAAGATATACATATATATATATATATATATATATATATATATAGAGCGAGAGAAAGATAGATAGATAGATAGATAGATAGAGAGAGAGAGAGAGAGAGAATATTGGATCAATAACTGTGTAGTCTATCACGTGTTTGCTAGCTGAAAATTGATTTTGAATTTTCACCGTATAATGTTCAAATTATGTGACATACAGCGTAAAGAAAGGCACTATGTTGTAAACATTTGTACTAACGGATTTATTGATGCGTTTATGCAACCCATTCAACTGTACACACACATGGGGAGAGAGAGAGAGAGAGAGAGAGGAGGGGGGAGATTTAATCGTTTCACCCCAAACAAGATAATAAAAGCGATTAAGATTCAAGGAGTATCTGAGAATGAAAGGAACATGAAAGAAATAAAATAACAGGATTCAAAGAGATAAAATATGACGACTGACATACAATTTTTGAAGATATATCTACATATATATATATATATATATATATATATATATATATATATATATATATATATGTGTGTGTGTGTGTGTGAGAGAGAGAGAGAGAGAGAAATAACGATATATATCTTTATGTATCAGGAATAGTATTGGAGAACATTTCACCATTCGAGCAGATCTTACAATATTACAGTGCGGAATACCTACTTACAAAACTAAAGGAAAGAAAAAGAAATAGACTTTAAATGCATACGGCTGGATAAAAAAGAAAAAAAAAGTTCTAAAATTCCCCCCCCCCTCTGGCGTGCGCATGTGTAGTCCTACCAACATAACAAATTTAGTCCGATAAAGTCCTGAAAGCCGAAAAGCGTCACATGTAAACTTTTTACACAAGGTCATACAATTGCTATATTTATACCGGAAAAGTGCTCAGTAGCGACTTAGGGCTTATATATATATATATATATATATATATATATATATATGTGTGTGTGTGTGTGTGTGTGTGTGTGTGTGTGTGTGTGCCTGTACATTGAATATCAACTCGCATGGTGATTCATAGTTAATAGCCTTAAACAATAATGAACACATAATGCCCGAAACTACTATTCACCATAATTTCAATGTACACAATCTATCTATCTATCTATCTATCTATCTATCTATCTATCTATCTATCTATGTTCATTTCCTATCCATCTATCTATCTATCTATCTATCTATCTATCTATCTATCTATCTGCACACGTTTAAGAATTATAAATCTCTATATGATTCTATCAATGAATATTATCATCTGTCTATCTGTTTCTGTTTGTCTGTGTGCCCCTTTTATTTACGTCGTTTTTCTTTTCATCAGTTGCGCGTCATCTTTTCTCGTAGCCCGAGACCTTCAACCTTACCATAAATCCACTCCTCTCCCCCTTCTCTAGATTTTTCACACCCCAACCCCATCAGCATCTTGTTTTGGAGACACCTCTCTCAACTATAATCCAAATAACCGCACGTGCCCGAAGGGATCCCTATTCAACCTTCCTTTTTTTTCATTAGCCCCTGATAAAGCATGCTCTAATTAAATTTCTTGTCCCAGCTTTGAAGAACACAACTCGTAACAACACTGCCAAATAGATTCTTTCTCAGCTTAAGAATGGGTCTTGTCACTAGGAACCAATTATTATTGACAAAGACGAAACAGAAGCAAGGATTCGTCCATCACCTTGCCTAGAGTACAGTAGGCTTACGGCGATACGCGCCAGCCAACACCAACTCTACCCCCCGACTGCTCAAACAACAACAGCAACAACAAATCTGGCAGAAGTACTGCAAATGAGCTTCATTCCCACGAACGAACGCACGTCACCCTGCTCTTTTTTCTTGGATTGCCAACCACTATACCTCCCACTTAGTTTGTTTTCTGTCTTACTATTAAAAAAATACATGCCAATTTATTTACTTTTTCACCCATGTATATCGTTTTTAGTCTATTTTTTTATTTATGATTTGTTTGTTTTTTTACGTTAAGCTCTTTTTACGCCACTATTTTCAATTACTTTTTCTTTATACCTGTTTATTCTTTTCTCGCCTCATATTTCGTCATCTTTTTATAGTTATTTCTGATCTTATCAACTTCTTTTATCATGTTCATTACTCTCCTTTCCACCAGATTCAATTTTGAATCTATACAGATCAATATTATTGGTTTCAGTTAAAGATGTAGAGACTGATATTCTTCTTCTTCTTCTTCTTCATCTATGGATTTTCATTTTTAATTTTTGTCTTCTTTCTTTATTTATTTCGCAAGAAATGCGTTTTACGAACGCTGTGGAAATATGAATTAAACATTAATAAATTCTTCTTTGCTGTATTCTCTGTTTCTTCATTTATAGTTTTTCATTTTGTTTTAATCTGCACCTTTTGAAACCAGTATTCTTTCTTTCTTTCTTTCTTTCTTTCTTTCTTTCTTTCTTTCTTTCTTTCTTTCTTTCTTTCCCTCATTCGGTGACTTTTCTTTTTTTTTCTCTCAATGCTCTTTCACGATCTTTGCTTTCTTTCTTTCTTTCTTTCTTTCTTTCTACACTTCCTTTTTTATACTTTTACTTTTTTCATACTTTCTTTTTATTTAATTACTTATTTTTCTTTCTTTCTTTTTTCTTTCTTTTTTCTTTTGTATTCTACGCTTTTCTTTATTTTTTTCATACTTTTTCTTTTTACATACTTTCTTTTTTCTTTATACACTTTTCTTTCTTTCTTTCTTTCTTTCTTTCTTTCTTTCTTTCTTTCTTTCCCCATTGTTCTTTCTTTGTTTCCATTCCTTTCTTTATTCACTTGTTCTTTCTTTCTTTCTTTCATAACGCCACATAAAAGTAGAACATTCCTATATTTTATGTAGAGATGTAAGCATTTAAAATAATTTACATAACGATTTAAACGTATAAAGATGTTTAGGTAAAGATGTTTAAGAAAAGATGTAAAAATGTAAACGTGTTTAGTTAAACATATCAAGATATCAAAACGACTTTACGAACACATCGCTGGAACTGGAATTACAAGACGGAATAATTTTCGGATTTCACAGTTATTGGCAGAATAAAACTTCCTTTGACTTGGCCCTTCATGTCATTCTCTCGTTGTTTTATTCCATACAAACATTAAATTTTGAATTTAAAATTTTCTTTCTTTGGTGCAGAATATTTAATAATTAATTAATATTAACAAAATTAGTGGAAACGAGTAACCAGCCATATCTCTCTCTCTCTCTCTCTCTCTCTCTATATATATATATATATATATATATATATATATATATATATATAATTATCCACAGATAGACTGTTTCAGCTGTATCACTGATCATCAGTGGGGCTAGACATTCGATTGCATAATTAATCAATATTGACAAAATTAGACTGTAGCTCAGATGCATATGCTCGGAAACGAGTAACCAGCCATTGTATATAAAGATCTATCTATCTATCTATCTATCTATCTATCTATCTATCTATCTATCTATCCACAGACAGACTGGCTAGACATTTGATTGCATCAAGTTGACCGATTTGGCATCAGTCTGAGATTCTACCCAGTCGCACGGCAGAGCGGAAGGGAAATTGTAACGTTTTTACTATGCGAAAGACGTCAGCTAGGAGAGCTCAATTCGGGGAGAAGAGCATTGCATTAGCAGCAGCCACTGTTTATAAAATAAATTTTATAAATAGCCACTATTTATAAAATAAAGTCTTAGAGACTGAGTTCATATCAGAATTAGAAATTTAACTGTGACATCTGTCGAAAAACTAATTGAGCTCTTTTTGTTTTAATATTTTATATTACTAGGATCAACTTGGATTACATACCAACACGGATTTATTACACACACACATATACATATATATATATATATATATATATATATATATATATATATATATATATATATATATGTATAGCTGTCGTATTCGAGGGACATCCATCTACTAGGATGGTTAGCCAATCCCTATTGCAGACGCTCGCTCAGGCGCATTTGTGTTTATTGATAACTCACAGAGCCCATCTGTGGTTTATACTGCAACTATGCTGAGCAGACCTTAGTTGCAGTTTCTGGGAAAGAGCGTATTATCTCGCACACTCAACCCCTCGGCCACGATGACTTCGTGCTAACACAGCTATCGTCGGGCTAATTTTATCTATCCAATTTCCCTCACAAAGCCTGGGTCAACCCATGGTATGCTTTTCAGGTACTTTCCAAATGTGCTGTACGCATGGATCGACCCTCCAGTCTGAGAACATCAGGCACGGGTCTCATGGTTAGAATGCAGGCGTTCTAACATTATATATATATATATATATATATATATATATATATATATATATATATATATATATATATATATATATATATATATATATATATATATATATATATATATATATATATATATATATATATATATATATATATATATATGTGTGTGTGTGTTCTTTAAAACGTTGTTTACGTTTCACCATTCTTGGCAGATCTTCGCTCATGGCAATGTAGAATATTTAATAATAAAGATGATGGAAGCAAAACAAAACAAAAAAAAGAGAAGAAAAAAAAAACAAAGAAAAAGAATCTAAATGAAATTGATTAGATTATATACCCAAAACGCATAAAAAGACAAACTTTTTTTCCAAATTTAAAATTCTCAGTGTCTCTCGTTCGTACCCGGGTGCGATCTCATCAACGTAAACAAGCCTAGTCCGATGATGTCCTAAGAGCCGAAACGCGTCAAACGAAAACTTTTTCCACTTTGTCATATATCTTTCTTCTGAAACTGTTCTTGATATATAAAAGTATATCTAACTCACACCTTTATCCACTGTGCCATGTGTCCGTTAGTTAGATCCAGTGACAGGACCCAAGGTGTGTGAGTTCAATACCTGGTTAAGGCGGTGGAGAAATTGGAGAGGGTAATTAACAGGAGATAACTGATAACTGGCATCCATTAGACAGGACACGTGGAACTAGAACAGTCTACCCCAGTGAGCGAAATAAAGAGTTCAGTTTGACATTTCAACCACCTGAAGAAGGCCGGGGCGTACAACGGCCGAAACGTTGTAATAAATATGGTAACAAAGATGAGGACAATAGTCCGAATAATGTAAATAGTTTACATAATACCTCATTTCAGAAATATAGACAGATACAAACACATCAAATTGATAATTTATAGCAAATTTAACATAAATACAGAAATTTAACATAGAGTAAGCTGGATGATGGGTAATTTTGCCCCCCAAAACCACAAATTACTACAAATCCAAAACAATAAACTTGTTTGTCAATATTGTCATTAGATCGAAACTTTTATATACATGTCATGCATGGCACCAAACTCTTTCAGAAATATCTAAACTGTCAGCTGTATAAAACCGCTTTCTAAAATCAATAGTTAAAATTTACTTTCAGTGAGCAAATCTCGTGGATCTTGGTGAAGACCAACGTTCATCGAACATTGTGGTCTGGCGCTACAGAATCACAAATAAAGAAATTTACGAGATAGCAGAGACGACATCACTTTAGGACGTTCAATAGCAGCAACAGTTAAAATGGATATGGCATGTAATAACTCAAAGAGAAAATAATGACAAAATGTTGACTTTCTACACTACTTCAAGTAAAGGAATAGGAAGAAAGACTACATCAGTACTAGAAAGATCGATAACAGTTACCGGACTTGAGAAAAGGTTTTTCCTGGAAAACTGTTTTCAGAGAAAAATTGCATTAATTTCAACCAATTGCAGCACTGGCTTTTTGGACCATTCAGTTGCGTGCAGAAGTCGGGGCAGTGAGTGCGACGGCCCCGGGCATCCATATCGGGGAGGGCATCCAATCAAAGAGTAAAATAAAAATTTAGTTTATATTTAATTTGAATAAAGTATTTTCTGTTTCATCTGTGTTTACATATTTAAAATGTCTTTCTTTCTCACATTTTTCAGTAATAGGCACTATAGACCCCAACACCTACTTGAGTCTTAAGTTAGCCGCGGGCATCACTAAACCTCTGCATTTCAATGAAAGTTGAATGTGTCCTTATAAGGAAGCGACTAATATTACCATTACCGTTTTCATTACCACTAATCAAAAGCAATTTGTTTCATTTTTCTGACCAATCAAAGCCTTCGATATTTTTTTTTAATAGTGGGTGGAATAAAATTGCAAATAGTATATTCAATGTGAAACCAAAAAATAGTACTGTGTTTTGTATCTTTTCACAAGCAAGTCAGCCCAAAAGAGCTAACATACTGAGCCTGGCTTCTATAAGGACGTGTTAAAAATTATAGATAAAAGATATTACGCTTTCTTTCTTTCTTTCTTTCTTTCTTTCTTTTTTTCTTTCTTTCTTTCTTTCTTTCTTTCTTTCTTTCTTCTACAATGTTTCTTCTATGCGACAGACTTCCCTTTATCTTTTCTTTCCTCATACACGTTTCGTTTGTTTGTTTGTTTCTTTCTTTCTTTCATTCTTTCTTTCTGTCTATTTATCTCAGTTCGTTCATTATCTATCTATCTATCTATCTATCTATCTATCTATCTATCTATCTATGACGTCACACAATACGAACTGTACAAAGTCCGACTATTATTTTAATATATTTTTTATTGTTATACGTTATTTATATAGACACAAATAATAAACAAGATTAACAACATTTACCGTTCAGACCAGTAAATGTTAATACTGTTTATTATAAACAGAGCATTGGCTTAAATGTTTGTGTCTAAATAAATAATCTATCTATCTATCTATCTATCTATCTATCTATCTATCTATCTATCTATCTATCTATCTATCAGTCTGAACATATTTTCTGATTTTTATTATATATATGTGTGTGTGAAATGTAGGTATATATATATATATATATATATATTTATATATATATATATGCAAGTTTTATTATATACATCATTTATATATTATATATACGCGGTACTTATTGGAAAGCTCAATATCAGTGATAGAGCTAACATATTTCGTTGTATTGATGT